ACAGCTGGTGTAAAGGTAGCTAATTGTAATGTACAAGTTTTTGCAAGCTGAATGTACAATAATAGATACAAAGTAATAGCTTATTCATATATTTGAAAAAAAAACACTTAATTGAGCTGTAGTTTGTTTAATGACAATTTATAAAAGAATGTAGTCCTGCTTTGATCCCAAATCCCCTCTGTTGTCTTCGGGGAGGTCCCACTGGAGCAGTTTAAGGGTCAAGCATCACGCTCAAGGACACAACAATTTGCGGTTATGCGCCAAAATGTCTGAGCTTCAGGCAACTAGCACAGTATGCTCTCTTAAGATCATGCATTTATAGTCCATGTCAACAAAGCCAACAAAAGCATGCACACACTCACGTGCAGAAAGAAACCACTCGACACACATACAGTATATCACAATGAATGGACGGGTGAATTGATTGCAATGCCAAATATGTATTTACATGTGTGTCAGTAGATTTAGCACCTTTATATGCCTCAGACATGTTATTTCACTTATTAAGTACTGATGTTGTGACCGAGAACTATACTACGTGTGGGGAGTTAGTTATTGCATGTCCTCATACGAGTATGAAACAGATTTATGACGTGTTGCACCGGGGTATTGCTGTGAAGGTCCAAGTCACACTGCAATTTGTTTGGTGAGGATTAGTGAGGATGTGAAGCTAATGATTAGCCCTTTGGCAAATGTTCCTATTTGATCTTTATGGTCATTATGCTACTTTGATTTTGTGAATCTATTTTTGACAACTTCAAGACAGACAGTTGTGTGCCCATCCCTGAAATCGTTGACAACCCCCTTTAGGCACTTCACGTTTAATGCTTTTGAGCTCTTTTTTTTGGTATGAATTGCTTCTCCATCACTTCAGTACATTTGCCATTGTTTTATTCCTTTGTCTCGTTCTGAATTCCTAAAAATCTTTATTCACCGCAGAGAGTACATGAGAAAAGATTCAAATTTTACATTTGTTCCCCACAGTATCACTCTACGGGGCATTAAACCATGCAGTACAGTTGACTGAGCTGTATTCAACACTTCCCGGAAGAAGTGTCCTCTGTGTGACTTCTTGAGGAGGAAATGAAACTCAAACAATAACACTCCAAATGAATTAGTGTCGGACTATTTATAGCTTGCAGATACTTGTAAAATATGAGTAAAAAAAAAAAAAATCTGCTTTTCTTTTTGGAGGACATCACGACATCAAAGGTCTGCAGCTTCTGCAATGTGATGTCAGAGAAGTGCACCTTATCTCAGCGCCATATTTAGAATGGAAAGCTGAATGGCATTAAATGGGGCTAAATATTGCACAGTTGTCACGGATGACGAGGATCCTGCCTCAAGTCTGTGAAAACTAGGTATAGTATAAAATAGTATTTATCGTATAAAAGCAAGAAATTTCCCTCTCAAAGCCAACACGTCCCAACTTGTCAAATACAGCAGCTTGGTCAGTGACCCTACGCTCTTCGTACCCCCACAGTGTCAGTTTTGCACACGACAGTTTCATCTCGTTACATACACTGTCTTCTCAAAATTAACTATCGTGTTCACTGGTAACAAGTTGGTTAGGTTTAGGCAACAAAACTACTTGTTTAGGAAAAGATTGTGGTTTAGGTTACAGTCAGAACGTTACTTCAAGTTTGTCAACATTGACTTTTGGTTTCAAGTGGGACACAAACACCTGTCTCCTGGGTGAATGTCCTGACTTCTTTGAACAGTCTGTCTACCCCAACCTCCTCCGTACGAGGAAGTTTTTGCTCTTTATACTATGCCACCGGATTTCCTCATAGTTTGAAGCTTAGAGCTACCGACCAAGCTGTCGTATTTGACGATTTAGAAATGAGAATGTGCTGCCCAAGCTCGATATGCCGATAGACAGACCAATGTTGGGCCAGTGTGAAGTGGTCCCAAAATATTCAAATGGCGACGAGATGCATACACGCTGTCTGAAGTGTAGCTGTCAATAGGAAAAGTCAAAAAGTCAGTTAGGTGGTGAGATCTTGGCGACAAGTTATTCTGCACTGACAGATGACATTTATGTGAGGTTTCATCTGGAGTACTCTTGCGCTGAGGCAAAGCTGGCCTTTCACTCTGTCTGCCAAACTAGCATTCGTCAGCAAACCTCATACACACACACACTCACACACACACACACACACTCACACACACACAGGCATAAAAAATGTAAATGGCAGCTGGCTCTGTGCGTGTGATGTCCCCTCTCTTCGTCGTATTGTATCCGTGGTTTGTAGATGCTGCAGTCATCACTGCCCTGCAAAGTCCTTGCAATTATATTGGTGACAAAAATATGATTTATTGCTTTGTTTTCTTCTCACCTTACTGTCTTCCTTTCTTAACACAGAGGACATGTCTGGGGTGGTGGTCGATTACAACCAAACAACAGCATCTATAAGCTAATCCAATGGGCTATACTGATTTTTAATCTCTTTCTCCTTCCTTTTAGTTCTCTCTGCCATTTCTTCCTCTCTCCTCTCCTTCCTTTGTTGCCTCATTGCACAGGCTGAACACGTGACAGCTCACTGTCAGTGTGTCCACCCTATTCAAATGAGGGCTGGCCTCAACTGCGTGTATCTCTGCCTGCATTTTGGGCTCAGAAGTACAGCAGCAGGCATTCATGGAGGCACAAGGTGGCAAAGGGATTCTCCCCCATGATTCATTTGAACTTTTCCTCTCTTTGAAATGGCATCACAGAGGCCTTGCATGATTAATCTCGCCACAGTTACACTGTTCTACACAGAGTGCCGACTTTTAAGAATGCCCGAAGGCACGTCTGCGAATATTGTAGTTTGGTTGGCAATCAGCTTGCTAATCAACCTTTCAATTGTCCATGTAATGTCCTAAATTTAGGTGAACACACCCACCGACTAGACTAACTGAGTGGCACTGCATTTTGACAACAGTGTGCAACAGGCTTATTGAAGGGTATCAATATTGTATTGTGAGTATATGTGAAACTAGAGCAATAGTAGTCCACACAGCCGAGCCAAGGATCTCATTTCTGAAAAAGTTCTGGATTTAATTAATTGTTCCATGATTACTTTAGAGTTTGCTGTTATTTGTCCATATGAACCAAAATTATGTGTACTTGTGTGCCTTTCATTTTTAAAATCTAAGGGCTCCAATCAGTGATGGCACAAAGAGAGACATAACACTTATAAGTCTGTTTGCTCTCCAAACTAAATCAAAACACAAGTGAGAAGTGATACCGGGAAAGGCGCATGACAGGAGTTCTTTCCTCCATTCCACGCCCGTCCATTCCAAAAATGGATGTTTGCAAGAAGCTAGCAATCCAAGTCATTTGTGTGCTGATTTGCAGCGGAAAAAAACAAGGAAAGAGAAAAGAATATGGAGGAGAGATAGGTAGCATGATTGTCTCTTCTGCAAAGAGAGTTGGAGGTTAAATAACAATAACCCTAACCCTAAATAATAACCCAACTTCCATTGATATTTCCCTTGTCCCGTGTCTTGCATTCTCATTGGATTTGGGTCGTTGCTGCTGTCATTGCCTGTCAAAAAAAATGTTTACACTACAGGATTTGGACTTGCAGACAAGTCCAGATATTTAACCTGCTATATATCTCACCGGCATCTGCAAAGCATTGGCACATCTCTTAGATTGCGTCTTTGAAAATTCACACAGAGCAATCGTCGCTAATGGTTGCAAGTGCCATTTTGCTTCGGATTTTGAGCTTTTGTATGTGATCTCCAACAACTCACAAAAATGTAATTCATAAGCTATTATTAGCGAGAATTATGCAACAGCACAGCAACAACATTTGATTTATTTCCTTGATGCAAAATGAAAAAAGTAATTCAGTGATCAGGTGAACTGTATCCGGGGGCAAATATCTACACTGGGCAATACATAAGATGTATGGATTCCTTATGTTAAGTGCAAAACCCATCTGTTAAATGGCCTCTTGGCCTCGAGGTAAACAACCTGACAAGTAACTGAAAATGTTGCTTTGATCCATGACATCAAAAACAGTATAAATTGCAGAAAAGCAATATAACATCTGTTGTCCATGCACGCATCTTGTGTCAAAGTACTCTTTATCAACACTAACCCTGAACTAAAGCCCCCACCCTGCACTGCCCATTGCCTCTAAGAAATACAAGTTTGTCTGGGGCTTTGATTATTTTTAGGGAGGATATGTGGAATGACAAACAGCAGTTCATTATAAAGCACTGAGCCTCTAAGAAGTAGTCTGACTCGTGGGTAGCATTTATTAAATGATCCCGTGTTTTCACTTATATTGGGACTGACCAACAGAGCAGCCCTGACTGTCACATATTATCCTCTAGTGGAGTGTCTTCTTGTTGACTCCACGCTGAGACTCTGATGCTTCACTTTGCACCTTTTACCTCTGAGACTAAACAACAGGATCCATCCAGTGAGTGCAATGGGAACTTTTCTAATTATTGCCACAATCATAATCATGCTAGTATCACAGCAAAGCCTCTCTGGGCTCTGTGGTCCCGTTGCTAGCTGGATGGGCTCACACAGGGAAAAATGCTAATCAACATCCGGCCTCATTAACTTATCGGTGACTGGGGTACAGCAAAAGAGCCTCTTCACTCCTTTCAAGGGTGGATGTAATCAGAAGCAGCATTTATCCATATTTCCTTCTCAAGGGAAAGGGAAAGGTATACATCTCCGTAAACATACTCACAGTAACTCCTCAGTATGGGAAAACGAAAAATTTGGATTATAATCAGATTCAAGAAGTGAAGCCCAAAGTGTTTGACTAGCTTAATCAAATAGTATGATGGTATGAATGTCAATCATTGAGATTTCTATTGTATTTTCTCTGAATCTGTCTTTTTTGTTCTCTGTGTGAATCCACTTGTAGATATAAAGGGAATCCAGTTTGCCAAGGCCAAATTAAAAAGCAGGCATCACATACATCATACAGGAAAGTGGCCAACGTTCAGCACAACTATACAATAAAACACACTATGGTGCAATTTCCTACCTCTTCCCACTGGTGGATGTAGCGAATGAGTCTTGAGAGACGCAGGAGCCGCAGCAAGCTGAGAATCTTTGTGAAGCGGACAATCCGCAAGGCGCGCGCTGTCTTGTAGAAATCCGAATCGATGCGCGTCTCCACAATGAGGAAGATGTAGTCCACAGGGATGGAGGAGATGAAGTCCACCACAAACCAACTCCGCAAATACTTGATCTTGATCTGTTGCGGATCCAGGATGATCTCCGTGTTGTCCTCCTTGACGATACCAGTCCTGAAATTGAGGACCAGATCCATGAGGAAGAAGGTATCGGAGACCACGTTGAACACAATCCAGGGGGGCGTGTGCTCATCCTTGAAGAATGTGATGCCCACGGGGATGATGATGAGGTTGCCCACCATCAGCAGCAGCATGGTCAAGTCCCAGTAAAACCTTATTGCAAATAGAAATGTAGAAAGACAGAGATGGGATGGTAAAAGAGAGTCAGAACATAGCAAAATGATCTAGCTAACTCTTAGCAACATCCTTTAAAGGGTAACACTAATCTTCTGTGTGCTTTAAAAACTCATTCTATATGGACTGCATGATATACAAACTGTATCTCTTTGCATCATGAAGTATATACACTATTGCTCAATGTTTGGGGTTGTCTCCCACAAAAGCTCGATCCGTTAGAGGACTACTACTCATACTTTGAGGTTGTAGAAAGACCTATTTTCCAATAAATGTTATTTTGTATCAACTACTTGCAAAAAAAGTCATGCTTTGTAAATGAAGAACAAAATGCTGTACATTGGTTCAACCAGAGTGACAATTGAAAGGGTCGAAAGAAACAAAGATCCCTCGAGAAACAGTTGAATGAGAATAGCAGAAATTGCCTGCCATTGCTAAAAGAAACAGGAAGCTAAGTATCAAAATATGTGCAGATTTAAATAGGAACAAGGTCCTGTCCAGCAAGGTCCTGTCAAGTGCACAAAATATATCGTGGGATATTTGGAGAAAAACAACTGTATTCTCCCCTGACATGTAATACTTCTTTTGGGGCCAAAACTATTTCAAATGTAAATAATACATTTATTGTTTGATTTATAGTATTTTTGTCTCTATTGAAATGGTCATTGTTGAAGGAAAGAAAAAAAACATCAATACAACAGCTGACCCGAAACTTTTGAGCTGCTGTGTATTATAGTAAAACACAGCTTGTGGCAAAACACATTCCAAGGGAGAGTTGCCATTTTTTCATGGCTTTAAAAATACGATGTGACACGGACTATTCTTCGACTCATCATACAAAACACAGTTAGAAATACATAAAAAGAAAGAATTAATTTGTAAATGTTAACCGAGTAATGTCTTATTATTGTTACATTTATGTGTAACCTCTATAGTATAGTTTTTTCACAAAGGACATTGACATTTCACAGTGGGAAAATTGTTAATAATAAACTAATGATGGCTGAATTCCATTTAGCTGTTTCAGCATAAGTATATTGTTCATCATGGTTCAATTTGGTTTTTTCACTGTAGTGAGATAGGTCACTCCTAAGCTACTTCCATTTTCAGCTCCGGAAAAAAAACAAAGGTTAATTGCTTTTTTTTTTAATTATTTTTTTACCATGTGCCCAAGTTGCTAGATTCACCACCACGACGTGACATTTTACTGGGCAATCAGCCACTACTTATTGTTGAGCCCTGGCATGCTGGCTCACTGACATGGCTTACTGAGACACCTAAATAGAACAGAGTCATCAATGTTATTAATAACACATGTGCTTTTCCTATTAAGAAAAATGAAATGCTTGATGTGAAAGCTATTTGTGTTTGTACTGTAAATCACAACTCAAAAGGTCAATGAGGGTTAAATGTTAATTACAAACTGTACTGCCACCTCGTCCGTCTTCCAGGCCCGAGAGTTTGGATATAAATTGCACTCTCAGCTGGCTTGGTAATTGAATCTAGATTGGCTCTTTTGTGTTAAGGGTGATATATCCTGGATATTCCATAGATCGCACCGTGGGGAGAGGGGGGGGGTTCCTGCATGGTGGACCAGCCCAGTGAGCTTTGATGATTTACCCACCTCATCATTAACTGGGCCACAAAGATCTGTTTCTGCGCAAAGCCAATTTCAAGAGCAGGGCCAGGAAACAAGGAAGAAAGGATACTACATACATAACCAGGGTAGGATACGCTTTTTTACTGCAAGCTAGCAAGTCCACAGCAAGTTATTACTGCTCTTTCACTCTCTTGCTGCAGCTGATGTTTATTGATTTCATGGTTGATTCACAGTGTTGCAGTAAATAACAAAGGCTTTAAAATGAACTGCTGCTTTGCTGGATGACACAGCCTGATCCAAAAAGTCCTTGGGCCCATGTAATTTCAAGTTGATTAAAATGTACCTATCAGTACAGATACATAACGCCTGCCTCACCAGAGCAGGAGATAACCTGGCACATACCCCGTTTCCTTCCTCATGAGATTCCTTTTGTTTGTTTTTTTGTTTTCTTTGCATGCCTGTGTTTGCTTTGTTGGAGGTTTATAGTTCATCATTTTATTTAGGATTAGTTAGATCTAAAATTGCCTTTTCTCTTCAAAGTCCTTTGAGATATGCTTGTGATAAAGCACAACAACTCCAAGTAGTTTTACCCTTATGATGTACCTTGATATTACCATTGATGCTACTACAATCAATGTCCCTCATTGCTATAAAGGAAACTTGACCATTTAAATGGTGCAGACTTGGTCAGCCAATAATTTGAGATTTTGTTCTATTTTCTCTGCTGTAAGCATGACTAAACATCATTGCTGATTCATTACGGAGGTAAAACGAAAGAAATCTATGGCATGAGTGATGCCATGGTGGCATTTGGACACAAGAGGTCTCTTCGACTCAAACACATAAATCTGTGGAAAAATGTAACATTACTTTGAAAAAGTAATGACTGTAAAATACAGAAAAACTACACAGGCTGCTATAGAGCAGACATTTAAGTTGTAACGTGCTAAGGTTACAGTTGATAAGAGCATTTCACAGATGCATACATACATTCACAGCATACACAGACACACATCTCAGTTTCATATCTATTGCACACACAGAAACATATACACATACACTGAGGGAACAGGGACAATACTTGGAATCCTTCAAAGTAAAAGGGTATCTACTGTTCCAGCTTGTTGTCAAGTGGAGTTATATTTAGACAGACCTTGCCACCACTGGGTTTTCTCATGAATGAAAGCCCAACAGGACAAGAAAAACTTATGAAAACACGAACAGATGATGACATTCGTTCTTTATATTGCCATGTTATCAAATGTTAAAAATGCTAGATAGCGTGTGCATTTTTTTGTATCCCCTCAGCTACAGCTTACTAATAGGATGCAAGTATGCTCCCAGCACTTGACAGAGTATATCAGTGATGATTTAGGGTTATCTGTTTCTACAGAAACAGATAACCCTGATAATATTTCCCTTTTTTGCCATTTGTATCAACTGTGACGACTCAACTGCCAACCAAGTCACCAGAAAATATTAGCATTGTTGGTTTTTGCAAACCACAGGATACGTTGAATGTTGAGGTGTCAGAACCAAAAAGGTTTCATAAAAGTTTCACATCAGCCGCGTGCCATGCTTGCAGAAACGCACAATTACTGATGGTTAGATGGTGAAACAACTGGTTAGCTTTAAACAACAAAACAACAACGGCCATTAGCAGACTTTCTTACACAGCGTTACGTAACAAGCCTACCAATGTTACACAACAACCATAAAGTCAACATTTAATTTTGGTTTCACACAGGACAAGAACAGCAGCCTCCTGGGTTAAAATCCTGTGTTTGTTTGACCCATCCACCTTGGTCTCACCCGCCCTTAGTGGACTTTCTTGCTTTTTATACTTGTAATTACACCCAGGTAACTTTATGTCACTTTTAGTACAGTGACGGTACTACATCACTTGCTGTGCACGTCGCTTACTGTACTAAGTCACTTGCTCTGACCGAATGAAAAAGTGTCCACATTTAACATTTCCATGGTTTGCAGAAACTTACAATGCCAGCATATTTTCCTGGTGAATAGACTGCAGCAGCACTGATCTTCTGAGCTTACCATGGGCCAGATAGGGTGCCGGATGGCCTTCTAATTCACAATGACAGTAAATTGATTCAAAGCTTTTTCACGTAAATAAGGTGCCAGGGTATTGCTATTAAACAAAATAGCACAAAGTACAGTTAAAGCTGATGGGGATGTCATTCATTTTGAAAGTATTTGATGATAAACCAAAGAATCGAATAAATGGACTTTAAACTGATGATGCAGGCAATCCGAATTCAACAACTGGATGTTGCTCAAAACCAAAAAAGAACAAGACAAGCCATAGAGGTGAAGCCTGTAAAATAGATCTGGCTTCAGTTAGATGATGCTGTATGAATGAAAGAAATAGAAAAATAAGTGCTGGAGGAGAGCTTCTCAACATCTTTGCAGAAAGCACAAGATAGCATTCTGCTTGAGACCTCTGGACGGCACCCTGGCAGAACACAGCCACTGCTGCCACCTGTTTGAGTAAGCCTAACTTTTTATAGGATTGAGGGGATAGGTGAGATTGATAGCAGCTCTTATATGCTCATTGTGAAAATGCATTTTTCTAAATATGAAGGGAAATGCACCACGCAAAAAATAAAAATCTGAGCATGGTACCTTTTTGTAGTACCATTGGATTTTAAAATAAATCAATCTACTAGTGGAAGACGTCCTATGACCATTAGTGACTTTGAGGTCCCCCCTTAAACAAAATTGTAATTGACCCACTACAATGTTTTGGGATAAGGACATCGCTCAGTATGCAGAATTTCAAAGAGCTGTGTAGGAATCCTTGTGGATTTTAAGTGTGTGTACGTGTAGACTGTGGTTTTACATGCACGTGTGTGTGTGTGTGTGTGTGTGTGTGTGTGTGTGTGTGTGTGTGTGAGCATGCATGTGGTTGCCTCCTGATGGAGGTCAGGCCGCCTAAACATAGAAGGGATCCATTTACTGTGTTGTATTATTCACTGGGACCCTGACATAGAAGAACATTGTTCTATAAATACAATTGGGCGAGTGCGGGATGTTAGGCGGACATTTCAAAGGCATTAAACAATCCTATACCTCTGTATGCATCCCAAATCACTGACTCACGCTGTGTGCTGGTATACCACCTGTCTTGAAATAAAATGAAAGCAAAATGCAGTGACCTAGCACTGGTGCTGTGAAGGTGACCAGGTGTTAGGGGTGAAGAAAACATCTCATTTGAACTGTTCTGATCTTTTTTTATTAGAAAAGTCCAGTTTATGTTTATTAAAGCAATGCCAGCAAATAAATACTTATTTTATGTATAACAAATAATGACAAATAATAATGATAATGAAACTGCTGGTGACTTTTTCGTTTGGTTGTA